CTTCTAAAATGTAATAGTGAATCAAGCTCGATTATTTTAAAACCATCCTACTGGACAGATGTCTAAACCAAGCATACAATTCTCTATTACGTTTTATGATTTGGTTTGATATTCCTAGAGAAGGGAGCTCTTAGTTAAACATCTCAGTTTAGAGGAAGTTCTATAGATCTCTACTGGCTTCAGTCCTACAAACTTCTACAGAACTCTCTTATATGGCTCTCTGATGCATTATCTTCCCCTCGTACAGGCACGCTGTCTCCCCTGTCCCTTCTCCCCCCTTAGGACAGTGAGCTCAAGAGTTAAGAGGAGAGGGCTTCAGTTGGGTTGTGTGGCACGACCTTCTCTCACTGCTTCCTCAGAGAAACATGGGCAGTGAGAAACCACAGCCTTTAACAAGTGAAATAGGCATTCCCGACTCCTGCCTCAGGGGCTGAGTGAGTTGCCTACAGGCAGAAACAGCACCAGGGTTTTTGCCGCCCTAGGCAGGGGGTCCTTCCACGCTCCTGGTCTTCGGGGCACTTCAACGGCGGGTCCCGGAGCGAGTGAAGGACCCGCCGCAGAATTGCCGCCGAAGACCTGGAGCGCGGAAGGACCCCCCGCCGCCGAATTGCCGCCCCCCGAATCCTGGTGCCCTAGGCGACTGCCTGGGTCGCCTAAATGGAAGCGCCGGCCCTGCTTACAGGAGTCTCCTGCTGACCGATGGAGCTGGAGAACACTGGGATTGCGGCAAAGCAAGGTAAGGTATTCCTGACCCCACAGGGGCTGAGCATTACGTCCTTCACAACAGCCACTTCTGGCCCCCGGGCAAGAAATGGAAGGTATCTCCATGTGGTGACACAGCCTCTGTTTTACTCATTCGAATTAGCTGTCAGACATGGTGTGGAACCTTTTATTTACAGGGATGTGTTCTTAGGCTTCTAAAGAAAGGGCAGTTACAGCAGGTTCTACATGTGATCTGTTTCCCCAATAGATTGTCAATCAAACCTTATTTGGATTCTGAACTTTCTTAGAGAGAAGGTACCTAAACGATTTCAGCTGAATCATTTCATGCTGCAAATAAGCAGTGTTGTTTTGCCTAGCTATAATCTTCTTACTGATCCATAAAACTTATTTACTATTTTAATGACTTCTTCCATTTTTGCAGCTTCTCTTCGGATTTCAGCTGCAAGTTTCTCACCTTCCATAGGTTTCTTAGAATCATTCACTAAAATTGCAGCAGCAAATAAAGCAGTTGTCGCTGTTAAACTGCTTGGAACACTTCCTGCCAGGATTTCACCAATTCTTATCCATTCATACAGTTCTGCTAACAAAACAATATAACTGTCCTCTCCCGGTTTTTTAATCTCTTTAGTGATTTTGGAAAGTTCCTTCTCAATACATTTCAGCATATCCTGACATTCCTTTAAAATCTTCTCCACCTCGTTCTTTTTGTTTGAACTTGTCACTGCATGAGCCTTTGCTATTGTAGCATTTTTATGAGTTTCATCAATTTCATCTGCCATCTTTCTAAGTTGGGTTACGTGACTCTCCAGTCTCTTTGCTGTGGGCAGTAATGACTCCTCCATAATTTCACCAATGTTCTTCCTCTTCTCACTAATAACAGGAAAAAAAATATTACACATGGAAAACTACTATGCTCACCTTCTGTCCCCTCTGTGTCTGTCTGTGAGATCTCATCTGGGCTGTGAGGAGGGGTAATACACTGCAGTCCTCACGCGAGATGCCTGACACATGGAAGTTATTCTAGGTCTTGGTGATCCTTGAATCATAACAGATTAAATATCAGAGAATTTAGGAACTCTTCAGAAATCTTTTGGGAGAGTATTTCACCGTTTGCTTCTGAAAACACCCAAAGGTGAACAAGTTCACAAATAAGAGAGAAAAAAAGTTAAACCAAATTATTCAAACCTCAAGGCTAGGTTCAGGTTCCCTTGAGGAAATGGGTGAAAGTATGATTTAAAGCCATGGTTCTCAACCATTTTTCATTGCAGATCCCTTTGAAAATTTCGAATGGAGGTGCAGACCTCTTTGGAAATCTGTTGTCTGTATATATAGTTGAATTCAGTTCAGTCAGTTTTGCAGACCCCTTAGACATATTCCGTGGACCCCCACAGATCTGCAGACCACAGCCTGAGAACCACTGATTTAGAGACAGACAACCCCCCAACCTAAAGCAAATACTCACCAGCAACCACACATCACTGAACAAAACCACTGACCCAGGAACCTATCCTTGTAACAAACCCCGATGCCAACTCTGTCCACATATCTATTCAAGTGACATCATCATAGGACCTAATCACATCAGCCATACCATCAGGGGCTCGTTCACCTGCACATCTACCAATGTGATCTATGCCATCATGTGCCAGCAATGCCCCTCTGCCATGTACATTGGCCAAACCGGACAGTCTCTACGCAAAAGAATCAATGGACACAAATCTGACATCAGGAATCAAAATACTCAAGAACCAGTGGGAGAACCCTTTGGCCTGTCTGGTCATTCAGTGACAGACCTGCGGGTGGCTATATTACAACAGAAAACTTACAAAACAGACTCCA